CTTGCTTACTTTAGACGAATTTCCGAATGGTTCGATACAGAAATGTTGAATGGGATGCTTAGTGGCCAAAAGTTTTGTGAAACATCAGCCATTAAGAAAGCCTCTGGAGAAGAACGAACAAAAATCTGCTTTTCAGGATATGTTCAGAACGCGACTGTTCAGCTTTCCAAACACGTAAGTACAAGAATTTTTTGTAGCCTGTTTAGGGAAGAAAAAATTAGTTTAGTGATAAACAAAAATTTCTTTGCTCGCTGAACTACTAGTTTTTAAGATTGTAATTATTTTTAGAGTTTGGCGGATTCGCTTATTTTCAGAAACAATCCTGAGATTCCTCCAACTATTGGGTCAGATATTATCTTTCAAACTATCGAAGACAAATACACCATTGATACGTCCAGGGCGAAAAGCAATAAGCCTGTCGTCTCATTATGCGCTCAGAAACTTGGACTACAAGAAGTCTCGTTATTTACTTATTACAGTAGAAAATTAGACGTTCTTTTAATACCAAGTATCAGAAGGAGAACAGATAAAAAGTAGTATTTTGAACACAAGAATTCAGTTATTACTTTAAGTTGCCGCTGGCGCTGGTTGCATACCTAAGAACCACTTAGAGCCTTTTTTAACTTCTTTGCCTTCGCAGAACTTGATTTTACACTACTTAATGCATTGCATATTTTGGTTACTTTGGAAAGTTAACAATTTCATGTCAATACGAAACAGCATTTTTTTCTTATTTGTATCTACCTGAACCACTATTTTTACAGCCAGAAACCAAAACGGTCAAAAATAAATTGAGATCAAGAATTTTTATAAAAATAATGTATTTGAGGTTTTCATAGCTCTTATTTGCGTAAAACTCTTGAAAAAATTTTTTGACGTGAATAGTGCACTTTTATTCAAATACGGTAATTTTTGTAAAAATGCTTGTCTTGTAATTAGAAGGATTCTTTCAAAGAATATGTGGGAACTATCATGAAGATAATACCCTGTTTTATTGAACAGTCTTATATTTTTTGTGACTGATTATAATACACTTTTAGTATCCAAACGGAAGGTCTCCTTTACAACCTTGTGATATTTATTGGCATAATGTTGTTTACACAGATCTAAAGTTTATAGTAACAAACGCTAATTCCAGAGTTAACAAATTTCCCGGTAAACTTTTTGTTCTATTATAAACCTGCTAAAATAATGATTTGTTTTAGCTATGTCTGTAGTTCTATAGCTTATCAGAGTAAGTCACTAAGTGAGAAACTGAATTAAAATCGCTACTTTAGGTATGACAGAACTGGCAAAAAAGGTTGCACTGACTCGTGCAATACTGTCAATGAGAAAGCTGTTTGCTGATGAGTATAATTTCTATCCGAACAGTTGGTTTATACCCGCACAGATCAACGAGTTCGCTCAGCACTGTGAAAAAACTAGGCTCGGAAACCAATCCGAAGCCGCTCAGCCGTGGTACATAGTTAAACCCGATGACGGTATCGTTTTGCTTTGTTCAGTTTATAAGTTGCAAACTCTTCAGTTTTTAGAAAGCCGTTTAGGCCACTTTTAAACTATTCAATTTCATTTTTTTTT